TAGAGACAGGACAGTCTACTGGGGGTTGCACGCAGTTTGGTTTGCTTCTGGATCTCTCCCCATCTAGCCACATGATCTGCAATATTTTTAAGTAGAGCATCCCTGATCACAAAGGGGAATATACCCTGATCTCGCTCCTAGGCCCAGGAGAGGAGAGTCAATGGCCACCAACTGTCCAGCCCAGGAGCACGAGCACAAGCACAAACTGTCCGCCAGGCCAGGGTGTGTGGAGGTGACCATCCTCCTCTCAGACAGGGGCCCCTCTCCGTGCAGACACTCTTCCCACTGACACTTAGCTCTTGACTGTAGACATCACAGGGAAGGATGCGAGGGAGTCAGAGCATAAAGGGAGGGGCTGAGGTGCCCGCCAAAGGCTCAAAAGGTACGCTAAGGTAGGCCACCTCTACAAAGCCAAAGGGGACAAAGCTTCTTGCGCAGAAATGACATGCGTTCCAACTACTACGTTTTCAAGCAAATTCTCCATACGTGCCCTAGAGCCAGTTTTAATCACAGCTATCTGCACATTACAGACATGACTGCCCCCACCCATTTTAACACAATTAAGTGAAGGTTTCCATAGATCAAATGCTCTAATTATTACTCACTGGTACACACGTACCCTTTTCAGTAGGAAATTTATTTTCAAACGTAATCCACTCTGGAACGACATTCTATTTTCCAGCTATGGGCTGTGTCTGAATCACTTTTCAAATACTTCACCCCCAGGTGTGACGCGTCATCTGGGCATCTATGTAATGAGTGTTTTTAGTGGACACTTCTTGGGGGCATCATTTCCCTTGCTCTTTTATGAGGCATCAAATCTGCACCTACCCCTGGACAATGACAGAGCATAATGTAAATCACAGGAGTTAAAAAAAAAAAAAAAAAAAAGAATCACAGTAAAAGGCACGTAATCAGAAAGACAAAAACAGACCAACGAGCCCCCAGTGCACTGCTTTTCCAGAAGAAAGGAGGAACAAAGTAAAAACTGGATCATGAGAAAGTAAGAGAAGGATGGTTGTCCCATGACGATAGCATCTGTGAATCTAAGGTGTGGTAAGGTGAAGGAATGTAGGAGACAGTCTGTGAATCTAAGGTGCCCAACAAATCACACTGTGAGGTGAAGGAATGTAGGAGACAGCAAGGACAGGGCATCACACGCCTGCACTGACAGGGATCTGCTCAAGAGCTCTCGTTTCTCAGCACCATTCTGCCATGTGGATATCTCAATGCTTCAAGAAAGAGGAGCAGCTGTGGTGACCACTGGTCAAGTGACCACTAACTACAAGAACAAACTTGAGAGGGGCACCGTTCAGGTCTACTAGAAAGCAACCCCAAAGGGAACAGAGTTTACCAGTTTCAGTCCATACTTGGACTATTCATGACGAGTGTTCTACAACATAAAACAGAGTCCCTTCTTCCAGGAGGGTCCTTGCCCGGGGCCCCCACCAGCATCTTATTCCAAACTCAGGAAGTCGGGAGTCAGGGCTGCCTCCGGTGGGCTCTCCTCCACCGCCAGGCCTCCGACTGGCCTCCAAATTTCGGCACACTTCTTTGCAAAGGTGGAAGGAACTTAATTAAGTTTCACCTAGCAAGCTGAACTAAAACCCCAGCACGCGCTTCAGGTCGGGAACTAAGGGAGCACAAAGACGTCCAGCACAGGTCACCTGCTCTACTATGCAAAGGAGAAGCCACACGTCACCCGCTGAAATCCTGGAACTGTGTGCATTTACAGAGATGTGGTAAATTATAATCAATAGTGCAAATCTTATCATGTCCTTGCACAGATGTCTCTCTTATTATTTTCTGATTTTTAAGAATGTAAAGATAAGCTTATTTTTCTTTGCTAATTTTTAATGGATGTTAAATAATCACTATCCGACGCCTAGAAAATAGATTTTATGTGCACTACATTTTACATAGTCCAACGTTCTGAATATTCTTAACATCCACCCTCTGCCTGGCCCCGTTATCAGTAGGAGACATCATGGGCTGCTTCCTAAAGACCTGCATGGGACCGTCCAATACGACAGGCATTTACCCAACGTGGCTAAGGAACACTTGAAATGTGGCTAATTTGAGCTGAGATGTGCTTTTAAGTGTAAAATACACACAGATTTCAGAGACTAGGTCTCAAAAATGAATGTAATAGATCTGGGGGATTTTCACACTGATGTGTTGAGTAACACTATTTTGGGTATGTTCAGACAGGAAAAAATAGACCATTCAAGTTCATTTCGTCTGTACCTTTTTCTTCTTTGGTATTGCTGTGCAACGTTTCATGCAGTCTTATTTCTATTAGACAGCAGTGCTCCGTGGAACAACCTTCTTGTCTTTTACAGAGAAGGGGCCCACCCCTTGTGCTCCTAATTTCACTTATTTACGAACTAGATAATCTTCCCTATCTGGAAGCCTAGATATTGTTGAATACCTATCATCTTCTTCCTTAGAAATCTTGTCCTGGTTCACAAACAATCTCAGTCCCCTTTCCTCTTTTTCTAAATGGCATCTGAGAACCAAAATTATTACCTCGATCATAGTTGATTGTTGCCTTGTGTCAACAAAAAACAGAACCCGAAAGCGCCTCTATTTCAAATGTACTGGCAAGTGCCCGGTCATTGTCAACATTTCTACAAAAATCTCCATTTACTTCCTCATTCTCCTCTGATTAAACAAGCTTCTCCGGAATATAAGCATTCCCCATGAAACTAACCGTTTTCAGTTTCATTTCTCTGAGGACCCCAGTCCTGGGGGCTACACTGGCAAATGGAACTTCCAGGGAAAACGCATTCACAGTCCTACAAAGCAGACCTACTGCAAAAGGACTCATTATGAACTGATGGTACAGGGTTATGCAAACAACAGACACTCGGGATGAAGTCAGGAGCTAAAGAACTAGAGCAGGGGTAACTGGCTAGACCGAACGAGATAGAGCAGTACATTCTGGACAGCGGTGTTTTATACAAGACGTTTTGTAAAAGAATGGAGTAAATGAATTTCTGAGAAAGTCCTGCAAAGCCTTACTACCTCAAAGAACACTTAAACCAGGGAGGAGGAAAAAAGGGCAGAAAATATGGAGAAAATCTTCCCAGATGGCACTAATTCTCGGTTCTCTGACCAATTCAAAGGACTGGGTAACATTGCCAGGGGCTAGACCGTTGAGGGGCCTGAAGCAGCGGGTGGAGCTCCTGGTTAATCGCTGTCCCTGCAGGTACCATGGTCAGATACACCACATTCATGGCTTCAGGAAACAGCTGTGTTTGAATCTGGAGTCAGAAGTAAGCAGCCAGCTCATTTAGAAGTTTAATAAATTTAATTTTAATGAGACATCTCGGCTGCATTAATATTCATGATATGAATATTAATGTTGCCCACCCACAACAGGCTTTCGGACCTTCCATTTGAGAGTAAGGAATTTATTTGACAGTTTAAGTTCTTGACCACCTAAGCAGGAAAATTCATGTCTACAAAATATACTTATGAATCCCAGAAGGTTTCTGAAATTGAGTTATTTCAGATTTAGGATCTGCATACACTTTTCTCTGCAATTAGTGACCTCTGTGGGGTGGTTTTTTTTTTTTTTTTTTTCTTCTTTAGGAATTCATCCGTTTCTCTCTCTGGGTTCATAAAATAAAGTTATTTTATGTAAAATAAAGTTTTTACTTTGTTCCTCCTTTCTTCTGGAAAAGCAGTGCACTGGGGGCTCTTTGGTCTGTTTTTGTCTTTCTGATTACGTGCCTTTTACTCTGATTCTTTTTTTTTTTTTTTTTTTAACTCCTGTGATTTACATTATGCTCTGTCATTGTCCAGGGGTAGGTGCAGATTTGATGCCTCATAAAAGAGCAAGGGAAATGATGCCCCCAAGAAGTGTCCACTATTTTTTGTGTGCCTTAAAAAAAATCAGTCTTGGGGCACCTGCGTGGCTCAGATGGTTGGGCGTCTGCCTTCGGCTCAGGTCATGATCCCAGGGTCCTGGGATCGAGCCCCACATCGGGCTCTCTGCTCGACGGGAAGCCTGCTTCTCCCTCTCCCTCTCCCCCTGCTTGTGTTCCCTCTCTCGCTGTGTCTCTCTCTGTCATATAAATAAAAAAAATGTTAAAAAAAAAAAAAATCAGTGTTATTACCACAGAACCATCCAGCAATATGACTGGCAGGGGGGCAAGGTCACAATGACCAGGGAAGAGGAACACATCATTTACATTTAGAATCAGATCGATCTGGGCTCATTCCTCAGCTTTGTTCCTTCTTCGCTGTGCAACCTTGGACAAGTGACTTAACCTCTCTGAGCTGCAGTGTTTGTTTTTATTAGTGAATGGAAACATTTCCTCCTCCTCTGCAGGGTTTTAGGCCAATTAGAGATAATGTGTGGGCGCCTGGGTGGCTCAGTCGGTTCAGCGACTGCCTTCGGCTCAGGTCATGATCCTGGAGTCCCTGGATCGAGTCCCGCATCGGGCTCCCTGCTGGGCAGGGAGCCTGCTTCTGCCTCTGACCCTCCCCACTGTCATTCTCTCGCTCTGAAATAAATAAATAAAATCTTTTTTAAAAAAAAGAAGAGATAATGTGTGGGTGCCTGGGTGGCTCAGCTGGTTAAGCGACTGCCTTCGGCTCAGGTCATCATCCTGGAGTCCCGGGATCGAGTCCCGCATCGGGCTCTGTGCTCGGCAGGGAGCCTGCTTCTGCCTCTGACCCTCCCCACTGTCATTCTCTCGCTCTGAAATAAATAAATAAAATCTTTTTTAAAAAAAAAGAAGAGATAATGTGTGAACATCTGCACCAGGTCATGAGTGTACACAAAGTAATGGGGGATTTTTCCAGTTCAAGGAGGGCTTCTGGGTTTACGAGGTCAGATCTCTATACAACGAACCTAACGGTGTTGGGAAACATGACGTGGAGGCTTCGCTTGTCTCGCGATCCCCGCACCGGGCGCTTTCTTCTTCGGATTCTACTTGGACTTCTCCGGGCCGCTGACCGTCCCGCCTCTGCCCATCGACTGTCAGTCGGGCCGCCTGCGGGCAGCAAGAGGGCGCCCAGTGCTTGCAACCGAGGGTAGCTTCCCGACCTCTCGCGCAGCTGGGCCAACTTGCGGGCTGCGGTGGGGCGCCGGGCGAGCGCGGGGTGCGGCCGCGCGCTCTGCACTGCCAAGCCCCTCCCCAGGCGAAGCCTGAGCGGCGGTCACCGCGGGCAGCCGGGGCGCGGAGCAGGGCTCCTCCGCCTCCGCGGTACAGACATCCGAGGCCGGGTGATGCGCCGGGGCGAGAGGCGCTCCTGTGCACCCGCAGCCAGCAACAGCCCCCCCGGCCGGGTCACCCCGCCGCCTGCCGCAGCCCCCAAACGGCGGGCTGAGGACCCCCGCGCTGTGCGACGCTCCAAGCGAGGTGCGTGCACCGCGGCGCCCGCGGCGACGGCCCCGGGCTGCGCCGGCTGGGCCGCGCTGCGCTGGCGAGCCCGCGGGGAAACTGAGGCCGGGCCGCGCGGCCGGCCGCCGCCGCCGCCGGAAGGAGCCGCCCGCCCGCAGGGTGGTCCCCGAGCGCCGCCCCCACGCGCGCCGCTCCCCCCACGCACTCCGGCCCCACGCGCGGCGCGGCCACCGGAAGTAGGGCGCCGGGCGCCGGCGACGCCAGAGCCCCGCGCGCGGCCGTCCTGCCGTGGCCCCCGCCGCCCCCGCCGCCCACCCGGGGGTCCCGGACACAAGCTCGGGCCGACACTCTGCGGCCCCCCGCCCCCAGCCCCCGCCCCCTCGCGGGCGGCGGCCGCAAGCTACCCACCAAGAAGGAGGCCGTCCATGTCGAAGAGCAGGTGGGTGACGGGCCGCGGCGGGGCTACGGAAGCCGCCATTGTGCCGCCCTCACGGCCAGGTGCGGGCGGAGGGAGGTGCGCGCGCCCGCCGGGCGGCGCACGCGCGCTCTGGGGCTGCGCGCCGGCCCCCGTTCCTCCAGGCGCTCTGCGCACGCGCGCCCCGAGCCTCCGCGCCTCCGCGCCCTGAGCCGCTCCCGTGCACGCGCGCTTGGGGCCGCGCTCCGCGTCCCGAGCCGTACTGCGCACGCGCGCCTCTGGCGTCTCCCGGGGGTGCTGGGATGCGCGCCCGGAGCCGCGCACGCGCCCTCCGTTCTCTGTGTCCCGCGCGCGCGGGCGCGTTTGGACGGTCCGCTCCGCCGGCGCCGCGGGGTAGGGATGCACCGCGTAGAGGCCCGACTTTGCCCGCGTGCACCCCGGCAGACGGGGCCGCGCGGAGCCTGGTTCCCGGTCTGGGGGGCGGACGCAGGACTTGAGTTTGGAGGGGGCGTAAGGAAGGAGGGCGAGCCTAGAGGGCCGGTGCGTGGGGCCGTTCGGGGGACGGAGGGGCGGGCTGTAAAGGTGCTCAGGTTGGCATCACCGCGAGCCACCGGCAGACGGGAGCGCAAGGCGCGCGGGCGGGCAGTGCTCCGGAGCGGCCGTCCCGGGACCCTCGCCGGGTTCCCTTTCGTTTCGCGCGCCCGCCGCCCCGCGGGGCTCCGCGGCGCATGCGCAGGGCCGAGCGGGCTGAGGCTCCGCTTCGCCCGCGCCTGCCTGTCCCGGGCGGTCCCGGCGGTGCCGGCGGTGCCGGCGGTCCGGGCTGCTGCGTTCTCCCCCGGCGACCCCGGCCGATGGGGCTGACAGCACAGGGCCGGATCCGAGCTGTGTACGTGCCTTGCCGCCTCATCTGCCTGCCTTGCTCGCTTTCTTCCCCTTTTCCCCTCTTTCCGAACGCAGGCCGGAAAGAATTTCCTTTTCCTTTTCCGCTCTTTCCGAATGCAACCAGGAAATAATTTTCTTTTCCTTTTCCACTCTTTCCGAATGCAACCAGGAAATAATTTTCTTTTCCGCTCTTTCCGAATGCAACCCGGAAAGAATTTCCTTTTCCTTTTCCGCTCTTTCCGAATGCAACCAGGAAATAATTTTCTTTTCCGCTCTTTCCGAATGCAACCCGGAAAGAATTTTCTTTTCCTTTTCCACTCTTTCCGAATGCAGGCCGGAAAGAATTTTCTTTTCCTTTTCCACTTTTTCCGAATGCAACCCGGAAAGAATTTTCTTTTCCTTTTCCGCTCTTTCCAAATGCAGGCCAGAAATAATTTTCTTTTACGCTCTTTCCGAATGCAACCCCGAAAAAATTTTCTTTTCCTTTTCCACTCTTTCCGAATGCAGGCCAGAAAGAATTTTCTTTTCCTTTTCCGCTCTTTCCGAATGCAGGCCGGAAAGAATTTTCTTTTCCGCTCTTTCCGAATGCAACCCGGAAAGAATTTTCTTTTCCGCTCTTTCCGAATGCAACCCGGAAAGAATTTTCTTTTCCGCTCTTTCCGAATGCAACCCGGAAAGAATTTTCTTTTCCGCTCTTTCCGAATGCAACCCGGAAAGAATTTTCTTTTCCGCTCTTTCCGAATGCAACCCGGAAAGAATTTTCTTTTCCGCTCTTTCCGAATGCAACCCGGAAAGAATTTTCTTTTCCGCTCTTTCCGAATGCAACCCGGAAAGAATTTTCTTTTCCTTTTCCGCTCTTTCCGAATGCAACCCGGAAAGAATTTTCTTTTCCTTTTCCGCTCTTTCCGAATGCAACCCGGAAAGAATTTTCTTTTCCTTTTCCGCTCTTTCCGAATGCAACCAGGAAATAATTTTCTTTTCCTTTTCCGCTCTTTCCGAATGCAGGCCGGAAAGAATTTTCTTTCCTTTTCCGCTCTTTTCGAATGCAGGCCAGAAAGAATTTTCTTTTCCGCTCTTTCCGAATGCAACCCGGAAAGAATTTTCTTTTCCTTTTCTGCTCTTTCCGAATGCAACCAGGAAATAATTTTCTTTTCCTTTTCCGCTCTTTCCAAATGCAGGCCAGAAAGATTTTTCTTTTCCGCTCTTTCCGAATGCAACCCGGAAAGAATTTTCTTTTCCTTTTCCGCTCTTTCCAAATGCAGGCCAGAAAGAATTTTCTTTTCCACTCTTTCCGAATGCAACCCGGAAAGAATTTTCTTTTCCTTTTCCGCTCTTTCCGAATGCAACCCGGAAAGAATTTTCTTTTCCTTTTCCGCTCTTTCCGAATGCAACCAGGAAATAATTTTCTTTTCCTTTTCCGCTCTTTCCGAATGCAGGCCGGAAAGAATTTTCTTTCCTTTTCCGCTCTTTCCGAATGCAGGCCAGAAAGAATTTTCTTTTCCGCTCTTTCCGAATGCAACCCGGAAAGAATTTTCTTTTCCTTTTCTGCTCTTTCCGAATGCAACCAGGAAATAATTTTCTTTTCCTTTTCCGCTCTTTCCAAATGCAGGCCAGAAAGATTTTTCTTTTCCGCTCTTTCCGAATGCAACCCGGAAAGAATTTTCTTTTCCTTTTCCGCTCTTTCCAAATGCAGGCCAGAAAGAATTTTCTTTTCCGCTCTTTCCGAATGCAACCCGGAAAGAATTTTCTTTTCCTTTTCCGCTCTTTCCGAATGCAACCCGGAAAGAATTTTCTTTTCCTTTTCCGCTCTTTCCGAATGCAACCAGGAAAGAATTTTCTTTTCCTTTTCCGCTCTTTCCGAATGCAACCCGGAAAGAATTTTCTTTTCCTTTTCCGCTCTTTCCGGATGCAACCCGGAAAGAATTTTCTTTTCCTTTTCCGCTCTTTCCGGATGCAACCCGGAAAGAATTTTCTTTTCCTTTTCCGCTCTTTCCGGATGCAACCCGGAAAGAATTTTCTTTTCCTTTTCCGCTCTTTCCGGATGCAACCCGGAAAGAATTTTCTTTTCCTTTTCCACTCTTTCCGAATGCAACCCGGAAAGAATTTTCTTTTCCTTTTCCGTTCTTTCTGAATGCAACCTGGAAAGAATTTTTTCTTTTTTTGCCACTCTCAAACACCTTTTTGACTCTGTTTCTGTTTAGTGTTGGTTGGTGTTGCATGTGCACGTTTATGTGTAAGGATAGAACCTCTTTAAAGAAGCAGAAGTTAGAAAGTTCCAGACGCTTTAAAACACGAAGGTGTATTTCTGAGAAAATGTAAAAACTACACTGGGGGCAGCTTTGATTCAGCAAGCGGAACCTGTGTGCCTCAGTTTCTTTGTGTGTGAAACGTGGGCGTTAAAGGAGACCAGGCAGGTCAAGCTCTTAGTATCAGCAAATAGTACATGGTCAGTGAATGAACGAATGCCTTTTTAGAGCTCTCGCTGTGAGAGAGTCTAAGCATGATTTCTTTCTGGGGACAGTGGACCTCAGAGAAAGCAATCCCTCAGCCGCTTAGAGACGGGACTGTGAACCCAGCGTGCCAGGCTGCTGTAACAAATTTCCACAGACTGGGTGGCTAGAACCACAGATGTGTTCCAGAACAGTTCTGGAAAAGCCAGAATTAGCAGAACAACGTGTCAGCAGCAGGATTAACACCTCCCGAGGGGCTGTGAGAACAGGATTGTTCCAGGCCTCTCTCCTTGGCTTGCGCATGGCCTTCTTGTCTCATTTCTTTATATCATCTCCTCTCTGTGGGTCTATTTCTGCATCCAAGTTTCTTCTCTTTGTGAGGACCCCAGTTATCACGAATTAATGCCCAAGCTTTAATCCAATTACCTGGGTGAAGACTCTTATTTTTAAATAAAGTCACCTGAGCTACTTAGGTATTAGGACTCCAAATTTTTTTTTTCCTTTTTTTTTAATGCATACAGTATGTGCATGCTCACTTGCTCTATGGGAATGTTTTTCTCTCCCATCGTAACATTGCAGTTCTGTTGATTCCTTAGATAAGAGGGGAGAAAATGCCTCCAGGGCCAAGACTAAGAATTCAGAACTGCAGGGAATAACCTGGAAGCTGTATGGCGGATCTCTGCGTCAGGGATGGTTGGCTCCTTAGAAGGAGCTTCAGGAGTTGTCTGGATTTCTACAGATTTGCCGCAAAAATAAGCCAACTCATAAATGCAGGTGAAGAAGGTGACACACAACCAGGGATAGAGAGATTTGGAGTCTGTCTCCCTTGCCCTGTACCAGCCACTGTGGCTCTGGGCATGGCTCTTGACAGAGAATCCAGTTGGTTCACTTACAGGAACCAAAGCACCAGCTGAGAGTTTCCCCTTTACCTCCTCTGAACTGGAAAAACCTTGTTGCAAGTGCAGAAGAGGTGCACTGGGGAGCCTTGGGTACTTACCCTCTCCACAGACGTAAAAACATGGTCCGAATCATTTTTTTCTTTAAGCCTTGTTTTCCACACTCTTCAGAAACATCTGCATATGACTGGAGACACCTCTTTATTTTATAAAAACAAAAGCAAACCAAACTGAGAACCGTCATGCTTTTTTTGTCATAAGCTAGACTGTAAAAAACTGAAAACGTGTTCACAGTTGAAGTGGTTTCTATGCAAGTAACTAGATGCACTTTAACTTTTGTTAATTCTCCTAACAGTCAAGCTTCTGGAGAGGCAGGATAGATTTCCTTCCACGAATTACAATTTATTTTTGCAAAATTGTACTTTCCCCGTGGGATGATGGCTCACTTCTTCTGACAACTTTATTTTTTTAAAAGATTTTATTTATTTATTCAACAGAGAGTGTACAAGCAGGGGAGTGTCAGGCAGAGGGAGAGGAAGAAGCAGACTTCCTGCTGAGGCAGACTCTTAACCAACTGAGCCACCGAGGTACCCGTCCTGACAACCTTAAAATGCAGCAGACGATCCAGTAAACTCTGGTACGGTGGTACCAAAAACACATTCAGGACGGATTGTGCACATTTAAAAGCAGGATGCTTTCCCACACAATGAATAAACTCAAATGTGCCGTTTTTCGTAAAACGAAAAGATATACATGCCTTAGCTTATTTCAGCTTCTTTATCTTGTTGTGTTGGTTCTTCCGTGCATATGTTTGCTTTCTGTGTTGTGTTTGGAAGGCTGCTTACTGCCCAAGTCATCTTTGGGAGCAGACCCAGCTCTGCAGTTCAGCCTGAACAGCTCTCATTTTCTTCCCTAGCTCTGACCTGGTCCCC